ATTATAATCTACCCAATCACTTTTTTTGGACACTCTGGAACATTTCTTTTGTCAGAAAACTCCCGTCAAGCCTGCTTTGAAATCATCAACAGGTTTGAATAAGCCCCCATCGTCGTCTTCAAGTGACTCAGATTCAGATGAAAAGACTCAAAACAAGGTCAGTGGTACTAGTTTTTTTCTAGATCCTACTGGATTTTTAGCGCTACATAATTGGTTGTTTCATTATGCCGATCATCTATGAAGTTCTTTCTCATTTCAAACATTAGCAGCCAGAGCGAGCATCAGAAGGGACCATCTTCAAGACTTGCTTTCAAATTGCTCTTACGATGTCATAACGTATTTATAGATAACGCCTGCGAAGACGATAGCAAAGCCCATTACTCCTGCTTCTGCCAAAAGACCAGCTTCATCATCGAGCAGTTCGAGCTCTGAGGATGAGTCCACAACCAAGGTTCTGCTTACGCTTTTTTCCTTTCCCTCGCTCAAGGATTAGGTTGCATTCCTCGCCTCAAATGTGAGCGCAAGGGTCGTCGAGTTTATAAACCAGTGGTTTTCAGAAAATCACTGCTAAATCAAAATCTCTCCCAGTAACTCCGGCTACCAGGAAAGCGGGGTCGAGTGATTCAGATTCTGATGCGGATAAAAAAGCGAAAGTGTGTTTATGATAATTGATTTACATGTAGGTTTAGATTAGCTTATCAGTTTAGGAAAAAAATGCCGACAAAGAAGATGTGGAAAATGATAAAAAGCCTAATGGCACTCCAAAGAGCTTCCCAGTAAGTTACAGTAAAATATTGTTCCTAAATTCTCGTTAACTCCTTTTCTTACGTGTTTTGGTAAATTTACATTTTCGTTTTCTCTAGAAAGTCCTTTTATGAATGCTTTTAACACTTCTTTTGCTGTTCTGCTTGATCGATTAACGCAAACTTAAAAATTTTAGAAACTGGATCATTGTGTATCCCTCCTTTTATCAAATTTTACGTAACCTTTATATGTTTGCATATTCAATACTGTGATCTGGTATACGCTCATTCTCATTCAATCAATCCAAAAGTGCCGGTTTCTCAGAGAAAATCCAACGAACCATTTCGACGCGTTACGATCACAAAGGAGTCTCTAAAAGACAAATTCAAGGATAACTCTTATGACCCCGTAAGTTTAGATCTCTCCATTTTTATGCAATTTATAATTTTCATAATGTTCTTATGTACTAATTGAATCTAGTCCTTTATTCTTCCGCGACCTATAGTAGTAATATGAGAGATAATGTCGGCTGACCCTATGAGTCCCAGTTGGACTCATTGGAGAACCTTCGAATGTGAGCCTGCTGCCCTTCTAAATGGGATCTAAGGCCGAAGAAGTTGAGAGAGAGACCTGCAGTCGCCTTCCATACCATACGTGCGATGGAGCGAAAATTGGCTTACTCTTTCTTCATTTTGGGACGGGAGGTTGATGTACTTATATACCACAATGAAGCGAAAGAAACCTGAGGATGGCCAAGGAGTTGCGGGGCATATCCTTTTCCCTCCCTCCTCTCCTCCCTCCCCGTCGAAATCCCTTCACACAGGGTGCTATTTCTTCGATGTGGCCCCCTTCATTTGCGGAGGTTCGTATCATATCGCATGTCTGCCTCAGTATCTGTGGAGCAGATTTCCATCATAACCTATGAACCGTTCCGGCCCGCTCGAAAATGAACGTTGCAGTGGTTGATCGAATCAATAAGCAATCTATAGTGTAGTTTCAGACAGATAATAATTTCAAACCTTATTTCCACCCAATTTGCCTTTTGCCAGCAAATTTCCTTGCGTTCGGAATTTATACGCACGTTACTCTCTTGAGACAGAATAGTCTCATACAAGCAAATTCAATTTCATTACCTTTTAAAACACATAAAGTAATTGCCCGTATATTATTTGCAAAAACGTAAAACGTCAACCATTCGGTCTATCAATACTACCATTTGGAGTGGTTCCGTTACTTATAATCAGGCAGTGCAGCTTCTCTTAGAGGCTCACTTCGCAGAGAGATGGATGGCGGATCAGGGGTATATGTCTTAAACCTTCTTCAGCCATATTCATCCCATCAAGAAAGGCTGAATCTACCAAGTGTCCTTCATTTTTGAGTGCTCAACACTTCCTAATGCTCATTGCCGGTGTGTGGACTGAACACAGATGCCCTATAATTGTGAAAGACTCGGGTATATTGTTGTAGGGTATGGATGTGATTGATCCTTTCTGTGATACCTAAGCATTTGATGAACACTCGAATCAAAAAAAAAGTCTAGCATTTCGGGCCTATAACTTTCGCGAGTAGTCGAATGTTGATTTTTCCCTCTTTTTAGAAAACTACTTATTTGCGCTAATTTCGAACTGATAATGATTTCAAAAATGTTCAATTTATCACTACATTAAGGTTTTTTGAAACTTTCGAGTGCACTACTACCAGTAAAGTTGTTCAATAGCTCATTCAAACTTTTTGGAAATAAGATTAGCGTATAGGCCTATGTCATCTCAGTATCAGTTGATAAAAGGTTAACAATTAGCACTTTTGCCTTTAAAATTTGTTTCGAAATTGAAATAATCACCTTTTACAATTTTCACGTTCGCCTGAGGTACCTTGTTGCTTTTTAGTCTTTTGATCATTGGGGTGCGAAGGCGCACGAGGCGCTAAGCAAGGTACAAGGAAAAGGTTTTCGACATGAGAAGACGAAAAAGAAGAAGGTGCGATTGTTATGCTGACATAATTTGCATCGTACTGTCATGACTGATTACTTATGTTTACAGGGAAGTTATGGCGGAGGACCAATAAGCACTTCTGTGAACTCGATAAAATTTTCGGACAGTGACTGATATCGCATTTCGCACTTTTCTTTCTTCTTGTTGATTTTCTGTTACCTGAAGTTAAATGGATGTTATCTGTTACCATGTGAATAAGTTGACATATTATGACACAAATCGTTTTTCGCTGTTTTTGGAGTATTGTTCCTTGCTGTTGTCTCGTTTCATGGACTGTTGATCCTTACTTCGTTTATAGATTTAGTGCGGAAAAACTTCTAATCAAATAAATTTTTTTGTTCATGATGCGACTGTTTGAAAGCAGTGGATTCTGTTATGTGTACCTCTATTTAGTTGAGTAGACTTTGGCACAGTATGCGCAATTGCACACTTGCGTGTCCTCCTAGGAAAAAATCCAGGGTAAGTGTTTCACTTCGTCATTGAACCAGCTTTATACGGCTTTTTTCCCTGTTCTCATTAGTTTAATATATTCGAAGTTAATTATCACGATACTCATAATCTTTTGCTTACCTTTGGTGTCGACTTATTACCTTTATTGGCCTGTATCCACGTGGAAATGTAATTGTTGTTTTTTTCAACAACATTTTCGCTAATTTTATATATAGATGCTGACAATACAATTATTTAACTATGAACTACTTGTTCACTATAAATGTTTTGTTGAAAACTGCGAGAAACAAAGGAATGAAACAGCTGGCCTAACCATGATGAAGTCTTTCCGGATGAGCGTACGTGGTGTGCCATTGCACATGTGAACGGCCGATTCTGCTTTACTATACATACTTGTGATCAAGAGTACAGCTGTTTCGATTGGGATAGACCACGTACTTTCGCGCACAAGGTATTCGCGTATGCGTTTCGAGCAGGCATATACGTAGACCATCACGATCGAAACAAACTACAGAAATATGGGTGTTCCATATGTTGTTTTTAAATTCTAATCTGTTATAGAATGGGGAAAAGAAACGCTGACGAGAGTCTTGCTGATGCTTCAATGAACGAAAGCGCTATTGTCGATGGTCCAAGTACTGCAAAGGAAGAGTACGAGTATCTATGCACACTGGTATTCTTTATCATTTAACTCTTTCACATCACTGTTTTTGCTGTTCCTTTACTCCGGACAGATTTAAGATCATGAACGATTCCAGAACCATATTTGCAGATAACTCAAATTCATTATAATCACGGTTCATTAGTATCTGACTTACAATGAACGACTTTCCCAAAAATGTTTGAATGTAAGTGTCAGTACAGAGGAAGATTGTTCCCTGTTTCATTGCAATATCCTGGCTCAACATCACCTTGGAATAATACATATTGACACTTAGATTGGGTTAGAATTTTGCTATATTGAGACTCTGAATACGCATCTCTTTTATAGCAAGTAGAATCGAGCAGTAGAAATATGTCCTTTAATACTAATCTGTGTCAGTTGAGAACCGTTAGGAAGAATCTTGCGTAGAGGGAGTCGAGCACGTACAGCTTCGCTTATAAGGGGTTTCTTAATGAGACCGTGGCCATGTAGATGTAATCGCGTGCATTTCTTTGCATACGTTTTTCCAGGGGTCGCTGCGTTGTCTGCACCTCGCAACTTCCCGCAGCGCACACGTGGCGCATCGGGCGGATTGCATGACCGACCCGATTACAATAGGCTGTACTTCCTTCATCAATTTACAGAGCTTGTGGCTCTGAGAAAGTTCATAAAAGGTTAGACTAGTCCTTGTTGGCATGTACTCTTTACAGGTAAATGCAATATCCAAGCCTTTGGCTAACAGGAAGCTTGCTAAAAAATTATACAAACTTGTGAAGAAATCTGCCAAGCAGCCACATCATCTCCGTCAGGGGTTAAAAGATGTCCAGAAAGCTTTGCGCAAAAATGAGAAAGGAATTGCCGTGTTAGCAGGTGAGCTTGCATATCTCAGTAACGAAGTACTTTCAAAAGTCATAAATTTTAGGTAATGTTAGTCCGATAGATGTTTATTCACATATTCCGGCACTGTGCGAGGAGTTAGAGATTCCCTATGTATTCACACCTTCCCGAGAACAGCTGGGACTTGCTGCTGGTCATCGTCGACCTGCAATTCTGCTCTTGATTAGGCCACATCCTGACTATCAGGAGCTGTACGATGAGGTTGATCTTACCTATTTACTCATTTAATCGAAAATGCAAACTTTATTTTAGGTTTATGAACTCGTCAACACTCTCGTCGTTGAATGATCATTTTTTAAAAAATTTTGTTACTGTATATGAGTTGTTACATGTTGATAATACTTGTTGATTTGAAATGATCACAGCAAGTTATTTTCTAAAAATTCCTGCCAGTTGTCGTTATGTTTGTTAAAGATTCACGTTAAAAACTTTTACGCTATGTTTAGTGCATCCCATCCAGTTTGCTTGTAGTTTGTCAGCAAGGAAAACACAAGGTGAAGCCTCGCACTGAGGAACTAAAATATGCGACATATTAATAATTGTCTCCATGCTTTCGTTTTTTT